CAAATCTTGACTGGGCTAACCTCATTTTCTCGTGTTCGCTAAGAACCGTATGGACTTTGGCCCGCCGTGAGCGGCTCCTTACGGTGGATATAATCTACTCGGGAACATTAAATCCTCCTCGAGCGTGACGAAAATGCTGTCATGTATTAGCCAGAGACAAGGCCGTTTCAGTGATTGTGACGATAAGATACTTTCCTCAATCGCTCTAACTTTATTAAACGTAATGATCAACATCCACTCCATAAAGAAGCAGTCGCGGCAGCGTGCTGATTGTTGCCTGAATCAAAACTGACCCGTTGTGTTATCAGAGGAAAATCGGGACGGCAGCTCACCGCCTGATGCTATCTGGGTGCCTGTATTCGGGCCACGGTGTGTCGGACCATTCCGGACATGCCTCAGGAGCCGCGACATCGCCGATCACAAATAACAGTTAACAGGGCAAGCTCGTCATTAATGTACATACAGAGGCCTTAACCTGGCTGCTGTCTGGAGATTGCAGAGCGTCTTACAATTGTGTCGATTGGAGACGGGAGTCCAACAGGAGCCGTGCCAGCTGTCACTGACTGAGTTGGTGGGGTGGTTTTGATGCCGATAACAATGGTCTCACTACCAGGTAGGCTGGGTCCGTTAGCGCTAGTTTAAAGGGACACTCCCACCTTAACATTAGTTTTGAGTTGAGATAGCCAAATTGGTGGCCATGGCCTGCAAATACCGGTTTGGGCACTCACAACATCGACAAATGCTTTAATTCGGAGATATGGAATTTCAAACTTGCAGTTTTCGGATTCTAAGGGGCTAGTGCATTGGTATGCCCCCTTAGAATTTGTGACGTCAGCGGAGATCTAACGATTTTTAAATCTTTTACTAAAACATTTGGTAGCACGCGGTGGTATATGCTGCTTTGCGCGCAACAAATGCCGCACTTTCAAATAAAGTCGCTAGGAACAGCGGAGATCCCAAAAAGTAAACAAAAGTAAAAGTCTAATATCTTGAAAACCGGTGAATATTTTTCGATGAAATTTGGTAGATATTCGTTTTCGCTCTTTCTGAACCGAGCGACATCACTTTCGTGCCAATTCATTAACTTTTTTGAAGGTGGGAGGGTCCCTTTAACGTGTCTGTCGTTTTTATTCAGGCAGCCTATACATTTTACACAATTGTCAAGCTAACAGCTCGTTAAGGTCGGTTTTATTAATAGAAAATGATAATACAGCAAGGGATGGACGTTTATAACACCTGACCAGGCGCGGATACAAGGGGGGGGGGGGCCATGGGGGCCATGGCCCCCCCTTGGCCGATTTTTTTTTCAAAAATAAAATAAAAAGTTAAAAAGCTAAAAAGCTGAAAAGGGGGCCTCCTGAAAATAAAGTGGCCGAAATCCGATGAGTTTTTTTAAACCTACCCACTTAGTTATTTCTTAGAAGACTAGCTGAGAAGACTTCTTTGTTAGAAGATTGGTAAAGCTTTTCATAACTTGGAGGTCTCTTATACTCACAGAGATGACCACTTTTACAGGGCCTCCTAACCTGCACAGAGGGCCTCCAAGCCTGCACAGATGTTGAGATGTTGCCTGAACAGCTAGATAAGCTCAATAGACGCAGTTTTTTTTTTGGGGGGGGGGGGGGCCCAACAAGTGGGAAGATGGGGCCTCCAACAGGCGGGATTATGGGGGGGGGGCCTCCTGGTTTCTAATGGCCCCTCCCTTGGAGATTTTCTGGATCCGCCCCTGCACCTGACTATTAAAAACTACGATAGCAGGGCACACTGACGTAGTAAGTGAACGGGCGTCAGGCTGTGTCTATAGAACAATGGTGGTTTGTGCTCGTGCGACAGACGACTAAGGCGGAACCGGGTGATTTCAGACACCCGTCCCGAGTCAGCCATGGAGCCGTCTCAAAGTTCGAACAATTAAACAATAGGTAAACAAGGCGACTCGTCCGCCCGGTTCCTATTTCCACGCGGATTTTACAGGGAAGATTCGACTTAATTGCTTGTTGACGAGTGATAAGCTAAATTGGTAGCACGCAAGTAATCGAGTAACATCTGAAAATAATTAATTACGTTCATTCATCACACGCGTCCAATGTCCATAGGAAATATCCTAATAACCTATCCTAACCTACCTGTACTGTGATGCATTTTTATATACCTACCAAAGCGAATTATTTGCATCTGCGCGTCGGATAAAAACGGAAAACGCTCTTATTTGAGAGACACTCAAGCATACCACCAAGTGCGTTAGAGAACACCGTGCTTCCCCGCCTTGAAGTGTACGATTTTTAATGGTGTTTAGAGAATCAAGTTGAAAGCGGAATAAAACCAGAAAATATCGTTTCTGGAATATAATGAGGCGAGCTGGTTAGGTATACCTAACTAACGCCTAACGTCTACTAGCCTAACGCCAGACACTATAGTGTCTGGCGGGCACTGGAATATTGGTTTAGAATAAAAACGGTAAATAACGATCAGAAAAGCAAATCCACTGCAGAACTGCTCGACAGGCTGGGCAGTGGGCACGTCTCCGTGCCGACAGGACCTCAGTCCATATCAATGCCCCCTCCGTCCCCCTCTGGCTCATCGTGGCCTCGTTCAGTGACAGGCGGACCGTTCCCACAGCTGCCCCTCCCCTCCTGCCCCCAGGCTGCCCCGTGCCGGACTTTCCGAATGTTCCCGGCGCTTAGGTACACCATTCCCCCCCCCCCCCCCCCACCCGCCCGGCCCGCTCACGGCAGCTCCGATACATTGATAATTCGTCCAATCAGCGTCGCTAATTGCCTCCCGTGTGGACGGTGCTCTCCAATTACCCCCGTGCCAACACGCCTATCGGGCCATGCGATGTGGCCTTCAGCAGTTGGACGGCCTTCACGATCGAGCCGTGATATGACACGCGCATGGGGGGGGGGGGGGGGTGCGGTGCAAATTCCTGTCAAAAGGGGCCGGTACGGGGCTAAAATCCGCCTGACAGAGCCTGTGTTGTCTAAGCCCGATCAAACATGTATTGGATGGAGTCTTGGAGGAGCATAACTGCTGCCCTGAGCTCTGACGGGCTCAATAACGGACTCAACATTTACCACGTCGAGGCAAATAACACTGCTTCTATGAGTCTGCATTGCAGTCTGGCTACATTCTTACATCGGAGCTAGGCTTTGTTTCGCGATGAAACTTTGCGTGCTCAGTGTAATAGCGCCATATGTTCGACACCCATTGACAGCCAGGCGGACGGAAAGGCCGGTGGGATCCGCCTGAGGCGTTCAGTGCTACATGTCTATGCATTAATGACGAAACATTCCATGTCGGGCCACGGTTACCACGTTTCAAACCCAGGGACAGCGGGCGGCCTTGGCCGCTGCCCAGCCATCGACCCCGAATAACCGAGTGGCCGGCGTGCAGTGCATGAAGTAAACATCAACTGGTTAACTTTGCAGAGTAGCAATCCTCTGTATAAGTCACGGGTAAATAAATTGTTATGTTGTTGTCTCCATGTTATTTTCAATATGTCCAGACTCCTAATTGCTGTGCATAGACAACATTCTAGCATTCAGTGGAGCCCAATGGCGATGGAATTTGATATGCCGACAATATAGCAGTAGCTTTTAAAATTGTAGTGTATGCGACACAAAACAGACGATTCGATGCAACTTGGCAAATATAAGCGCTGCGGATGTGATGAAAAGGATAAGGAGGAGGCTCCACAGTCCACACGAGTGCATGATAGGCTCCAGAGTTGAAGCCAAGTATTTTAGTGGACAAAACGAGTAGATGCAACTACAAAACTTATCGAGGGAAACATAGTATTTTCGAAACCACGACAGTCCCACACGGCCGACAGGATTGGAGCTTGCGTTGCGCCAGTGCGACACTCACTTTAGGTCTGTGGCCTCGGTCCCATGTCCCATCCTCGCCTCGAATACGAGTGTGGCTGAATTTGCCCCTCAATGTGCACAACTTTTCCCTCACAATACGATGCAGTTCCGAGCCCAGTTAGTTGACGGGCGGATCGCAGTGTCAAAGGGCGCGGTTTCAGCAGTGTTACACTCCAATCAGCCATGGCTGCAGGTGGAGCGTTCGGCAGTGCAGGCTGCGGCTGCAGTCGGTGGCGGAATTCCACACCAGTCGTGCTGTTGGTGTTTGAACAATGAACAGGGGCTGACCGTGATATCACCACCGCCACCCGCACCACTGCACCACTGCTGGTGACACCTGGTGCAGCCCGGACAGAGCGGAGTCGCGGGACGGTTCAAATAGTTCAGTTCATTGCTGCAGTTCAGTGGCTCGCAGCCAGTTCAGGGCCGGTGCAGCCAGTTCGGTAGCAGGGACTGGACCAAATCCAAAACCGCGGCCAAAGAATGCAAATGATCAATGAGCATGGATTTACCATTTCGTAATTCGATGGCAGGACATTTCTGCTGATGAAAAACAGCAAGACGAAGCGGGATTCGAAGCAGCCATTGGGCTAATAGTTAGATGCATGTGAAGAAGCACGACATTTAGTCCGGCTAAGTTTTGTACGACGGTCGTCGAACCAAGGCTGTTTCCCCAGCGGCGCTGCGTTTAAGGTCACATCGACCGCTGTGGCCGTACGTCGGATCGATCACGGGTACGGGGAGCGGTGACAAGGGTCACGGACGGCACTCAGAACGCCAGGGTCACGGGGGTGGGGTCAGTGGAGTCGCCGGCGGGGCGGCATCCCGGGGACGTGTTGACGGTCACACGCACGCGGCGGTGGAAGAACCGAAATCGCGGGACAGCGGAGAAACGAAATGGTAACGGCTTGAAGAAGAATAGAATAAAACGGCTGCACGAGTAGGAGCATGCGAAGTCACATCTTCTTCGATAGGTTTGGCATAAATGATACACATGCATGCATTCCGAAGGTAAAACATACAAATGAGCGATCTCAAACGGAACACATCATCAAACTCTTGATCAGCGAACTCCCCCCGAAAGTCTCGAGCCCAGCCCTCTCGAACACCCCTCCCACATTCCCCAATCTTGCTCACCTTGGCACTGGGCGAAGCAGGTGCTCTGCTGGAAGTTCTTGTGTCCCGGCGAGCAGACGTCCGTGCACGGACGGCAGCCGAACGTCGACACGTGACAGAACTCCTTGGGGCCGCAGGTCAGCTCGCCGCACGGCTGGCCGCTCGGACTCAGCCCAGCGATCACCGGCGACAGCTGCGAAACGGCCGACAGCATCCGCGCCGGCCGCGACGAGCCCATGGCGAGCCGGGCGCCGGGCGACGGCCACCGGCCGCCGGCGGACGGCCGCAGAGCCAGCGTGGACACTCGACAGCGGAGGTCGGCCGCGGCGGCACGGGCGGGGGTACACTGGGGTGAGGTGGTCACAGGTTACAGGCTGGCTGTGCTCTCCAGGAAGGCAGCACGTTCAATCACTTGTCTTCTCACTCTCTGAAGCGCTTCACGGCAGGCACCACCGCACCACTCTCTCTCGCTGCCCTCACACCGCGGCTCTACCGGTCACGCGCTGACCTCAGGTCACACTGCTCGTCCGCACAGCTGTCTCCGGCGCCACCTGCCGCTCGCTCGGCCACGCTCCGCCAGCACCGATTGACGGTGCCGCGAACGGTGCGCCGCCTCTTCCCACCGGCCCGGCGAGCCTACGGTCGAAAATTCCCGGAAAGGCAGCGGCGTAATGGCCTTTACCGGCTCCACGCCCCGCCCACTCAGGTGCGCCCGCAGGTGCAGCGCGCAAGAAGGGCCCGCGCGGCGCGGTCGGCGGCTCGGCCGGCCGGCAGTGACCGCAGGTGTGCCCGTGTTGCACGCGACCGGCGTTCGGCGGCGGCCCGTGCTGAATCTAATGAGAGGCGCCAAGCGCTGCAGCGGCACTGCGGCGGGCCAGGCGAAGCGGCCGGTGACCGGTGTATGGTCCCCGTCTACTGCCGCTGTGCCTCCGCTGTGCCTCCGCCGCAGAAACTGGGCCATAGAGCGGCCGGCCGGCCAGCCCGGTCCGCCGCCGGGCGCGCCAGGCACGGGGAAAAATCGCCGGCCGGCCGCCAGGCTCGTGTCTGCACCAGGAAAACACGGGCGCGCTTCTTCAGGACGGGCAACAATAGCTGCTGCCGCCCGGCCGGTCGGCCTTGGGCGCAGCCGGTCCACCGGGCTGAAATGGCGTCCAGCATGGCATTCAGGCGTCCCGACTTATCACATGTTTCTGGAATAGATAACCGCCGCTCGGCCCATGTCCAGTGAAGCACGCGGTATCTCACGATTACCACCTGGTATGCACGAGGTCACACAAAGCGTCATCGATAAAAATTTATTAACAACTTTGGGAGGGATTACAACGCCAAGGCTCGGGTAGAAAATCGGTGTCGATTCGCTTGGCACATCCACAATCACAGCTCGCGTCCCGTGAGTAAAGCGATCATCCCGACAGCACTTCCATGTAAGCTCGTAAAACACCCTAATTCACCGCCATAAAGCGTGCCGAAACCTCCGCCGTAAAACACCCTAAATCGTTCATCGTAAACCATTCCAAATCGTCAATGGTAATCACATGCGAATTGTAATCTCAAAGCATCTCGATTCCCGACCAAAACCAGCAGTCGCAGTTTTACTGACGCGCGTTTGATTACAGAAGCTCGCCTATGATCTGTATTCTCGCCGGGCCAGTCACTGGAGGTGTGTGCGGTGCAGACCGCAGAGGACTGCCGTGTGGAGCCCGCCCCCGTCCACCCCGTTCCGCTCTCACACTGACAGCCGCCCTGTCGCCCTGCCGGCCTGCGAAGGTCGTCGGAGGCCGCAAGTGACCAGGCCCTGCGTCATGCCGACCCACGAAGGACGCAGCAGTGGGCATTCCCTGATGGTCCGATTAGACCGGCCGATACGGACCAGAGATGGTCCGGAGACCAGACCGGACCGGCCCGCCGTGGTGACAGGTCCGGGTTAGGCGGAGAGAACTCGGCTGACAAACGGACACTCCACTCCACAATACAGTCACGACTAGAATTAAGGCTCAGTAGATCGGCGTGGCTACACCAATAATCAGGTGACTAGCTGCGATGATTAGAATACAATCAATCAACCGCGCAGTGTCGGACCGGGCCCGAGAACTGCCATTACCGAATTAAATCAATCATAGTGCGTATTGCTGCGCCCTGATGAGCCTGTCTGCCGTAGAAATGTAACAAAGGTCCGATAAGCACTCATTGCAGGGCCGCGTGTGACAAAGGCGAACCATACGATTATCGTAGCCGAGTTGCTGGCCACAACCAAAACTGAGAGTATCCTAGCAGTGGTCACGATTCAATCAAGAATCAATCGAACGAATTCTAATATCGCGAGTTCCAAACCTCCAAAACGTATTGACGAGAACCGAAAACGCCACAGCTGCCACTACATTTTGACCCACCCACTCAGGTATTATGCTGATACACTCAACATACAAAACAAGACGCGCTTTCATGGGAAGTCATGGGCAGAACTGGCCAGCCCCGCACAACGCACGCAAAGTCCAAAGCTCGCACAAAGACACCACACAGGGGCAGTTACGATAGCACGCACACCCACCCAGCCCGTACACACGGGGAGAGAGCACGCCGCACTCCCGTACTCCGGCTCCTCTCCCTAAAAACCTCACACCTCCGCTCAGCAAACCACAGTCAGAGAGCGCCCGCGCGTGACACCGGGCTGACCTCACCCGACAGATAACCGGCTGCCAGGCCGGTGTCGGTCCTGACAGTCGCGCTGTCACGGTCGGGGTCGTCTGTCAGGGCCCCGGTGTCGTCAGAGGCCGGTGAAGGCGCCTCCAACCGGCAGCGAAGCGGTGGTGGGTCTCTAGGCGGCAGTGTTGACCTTGGTTCCGATGATGCACTCTTCGGTGCACGCCTTCAGGACGGTGCACTGCAACAGGGAAGGGACGCAGAGAGGTCAACATTTGAGGGAAGAAACTCTGTACTGCAACATGGTAGGGGCGGAGAGATGTCAACATCCGAGGGACAGTGCACTGCAACAGGGGAGGGACGGAGATATGTCAAATTACAAGGACCAAACTTGGCACTACCGGAGGGACAGAAGAGATCAGCATCAGAGGGATGGGGATAGGACAGGAGTCAGCATCAAAGGGATGGAGATAAGAGTCAGCATCAGAGAAACAAAGAGAGGTTAACATCACAGGGACAAAGCTCTGCACTGTCGGAGGGACGGAGAGGGTCGGAGTCGGTATCGGAGGGATGGAGATGGGGGTTAGAATTAGACGGGCGGAAGGAGAGGTCGGCATGGAAGGGAGAGATAGATAGATAGAGGTAGAGGGATCAGTATTAAAGAAGCGGAATTAGTATCGGAGAGGGACGGAGAGGTCATCAGAGGGACGCGACGGAGGGAGGAGGTCAGTATCAGAGGGACAGCACACTGCACTGTGGGGAGGGGGGACGGAGAGTGGGGTCAGTGCACTGCGCACCTCAGCTCGCCGAAATACGAGGGAGGACGGGAGGCCACACCAGTGAACTCCAAACGGAACACATCGCAACGGAAACTAACGGGGGGTTTGACATGTGATAGCACTAACAGTGGAGGGTGCATAATCTAGACACAGCTGTCGATGAAAATCAACACGGTGCATCCGCACGATATAGGCAGAAAAAGTACAGTCGGTAAGGGCCGAGTCCGTATCATCATTTATCAGGGAGTGATGACAAGATGCAAGCGAATGACGGACGCCTGTCAGAAAACGGAGCACCTGTTCTAAGCGGAAAATGTGGGGAAGGCACGGCGATACGCCTCGACCACATACAGCCAACTGGTGGCTTAAAGTGGAACCTATTTACACAGTCGTCCTGAGGTTGATTACACCAGCCTCTCACAAAACGCAGAGTTTACAGTACAGTACTCTGTGGGGGTCCACGGTTAACACTTCCACAGCAGTTGGCGACTGGTAGTTGAGGCCCTCACGGACAGGATGGGTGAGCTCGGCAGACCTTGTCCGGATTTTCGGACACGCACGGCCCTAGCCACGACTATCCGTTTACGAGCCGACCCCAGCAGGCTAGAGAGGCTCAAGGCTCACGCGACCGCTGGCTTCCAAGGTGAAAAGTTCTCTGAGATCCCCGTCGAAAGACATGGTCGAAAACATGTAGAGCAGCCGCCTGTGTTGATAAAGATCTGAGATCCTCACATGGTAGACGACCTGCCTTTCGTTTTAGCCCCAGCGCACGAACAACGAAATCCTATTTCATATACGACCTGTGGAGAACGACCTTGAACATATGAAACAAAGAGAGCCTGCTGTAGAAAATCTCTACCAGGCCCCTTGTGCGGGGCTTCAGGATCCGTGTCATTGCACACATGATGACGATTGACATTGTCTCTCAACGAAATATCTCTTAGACGATGATCGCAAATCAATAGAACTCCTAGATTCAGTAAAATTACTGTCGGCCACCCAGGAAAACTTAAACCTCGCATGTGTGCGGCGTTTGCCAGCTTCTAATGTGCAGGGGGGGGGGGAGTCGGTTGGACCCCCCCTTGCCGTTTGGCCCCTGATCGAGCTAGAGCTTCGCGGAAAAAACGAGCGTGTTGCCCGTGACGAGAGGAAGCCGATGATACCCAATTTTAAGGTCCTAGGTCATTGGTTGACCTTGCAGGTCAGGTCAATGACCCAAAGTCGGGAAAATCGGGACCTGCTAGAAAGTCGTAAAGTGTAGCTGCTAAGGGGTTTTTCGGGGTGCTGATCACGAATATCGTGTTAGTTTTGATCACAGATGATGTCTTTAAGCATCTGGACCAGGTCGGGTCAGGTCAGGTCAGGTCAACCAGTACGCGTCGTGACGGGTATTCGTAGTACGTGTCAACCGCCTCTGAGTCCAGGGTTGTATACGACTCAATCAATAGCAATCAATTCAATCACGACAAATTTGGGAAACCAATCAAATCAATCAAGTCAGAGCAGTTTTCGGGAATTGATTCAATCGACTCAAACGCGACAATGAAAGGAATCAATCAACTCAATCAAACGACTTAAACCAAGACATACATTAGGTTTTTTGCCCCACCAACTTGGAAAAGTGTCCATAGCAGTCCGGTGTACCTACCTACCTACCTACCTACAGAAGAAACATAAAATAGTGTCATTTAAAATTATAAATTGCCATCAGTGGCCTTCTAAATTCTCGTACTTTATAAGTGTACCTACCTAAGTGTAAGTGTGTGTTGACTAGGTACCTACCCACTGAAAATACATTTTGATTTAAATGAATTCAATTATGCTAGGCAGGTACCTATCCGCACCCCTCTTCCCCCTCAACTTGCTGCATTTGGCCATTTAGGTACCTACTGATTCGTCCATTTACACTAAATATCAGATATTGCAGTTGAAAGTTGGCTGCTCGGATTTTGGCAGTGTTCGTGATTTGGCCATTTACCCTACACCATGTCTATTTTAATGGATAATATGCATCAATAACATATTAACCATAGGGAAATAGAAATAAATATCTTACCTGCATGTGACGGTTTCGGTTAGACAGAGACTGACGGGCAGCCTGGAAAATCTTTCCACACAATGTGCATTTGAGACGTGGGATGTTGTCAGATTGGGAAGGAAGATATTTGAAGTATTTAGCGGTCCACGACTCTGGACGTGGCATGTCAATGTTAGGTACCTATGCGAAGAATTCAAAACATTTTATTGCAATACAATTTGAAACCGTTAGGACTGGGGGATAGGGATGAGGATTAAAAATATATTTAAAAGGAAATGGAGAGGAAAAGGACTCTGGAACCACAGGATAAGTTAAGGACAAAGGAAGTAGGAACAAGTAAAATTAAAACGCGAAAACGGCACGGTGCGACTGCCAAACAAAGAAAACGTTTTGCCAATAAGTATGCTAAGCTTTTATAAATCCTTATTCTACGTCTTTTTATGTTTTGGTAAGATGACGTCATTGATTATCATGTAGTATGGTAGATCATCATAAAATAAATCGGTTGTACAACACCAATTTCGTTTTAATTATTATTTCATTTGAAATAAAACCACTCTATAATATTCGGTAAAACATTTTAAGGAAAATGAAATATATTAAATATGTTTAGGCTCTCAGGAGAAAAGGATCAACAAACGTTCTGCTGCAAATTAAACAATGCAGCAAATTAGCTATTAATTAGGTACGTAAACGTAATTAGCGAGACGAAAACGGCGCTTTTGTTTCAGTTATTTTTGTAGGGGTTTCAGGTATTTATAGAGTTCAGTGGGTTGTTTCTGAGGAGATATGGAGATGTGAATTATTAATTAATCGCACTTTATTAGTATATAGGGCCTTGCACTTCATCATCTGGATTAAAAAAAAAACGTTTCCTGCTGAGTGCAGAAAGGTAGGTAGGTGCATCGCCAGGTTCTATCACCAGGATTGGAGCAGTTATTGCAGTTGAAAGTCAAAGTTGGCTGTTCATGTTTAGGCCCTGTTCTTTATTTGGCCATCTACCCCATATTGCAGTTGTGATGACAAGCAGTTTTCAGTGTAGTTTTGTGATCTTTGATGTCATCAATTGGTGTCATTATTTTTCGTCAACTAAAACTTATTTGAACTTTCCATTCAATCGACTCAATCATACGAGTCACTCTGATTTTCGGGAATCAAATCAGTCAACCAGTCGCTAAAGTCAAACGAGTCAGTCAACCAGTCATCTCAAAAAGTCAATCGACTCAGTCCAATCAACTCAAAATACGCGTTGAAACAAATCAATCAATTCAATCGACTTGATTGGTATACAACCCTGCCTCTGACAGCTTCGTAACATGTTATTAAGTCACCAAAACTACTTCGTAAATGTTCAAATGGTTGCTAAATTCGAATTCAGCTCCGAAAACTAGCCTAGAAACATGTAAAACTCGAAAAAGTGAACCGAGGTCACCAAAGGTCAATGACCTGACCTGACCTTCAGGTGACCTTGACACCCACCCTAATGCATGGGAGCAGCATCAAATCACATGTTTGAACGTTTGAAACCACGAAAAGCTTGCAAACGCGCGGCTAATGCGAGCAGACACGCGGAATCGCGATTCCGGCCAAATATGGTCTCGGAAAAGAGGTCACAGGTCAAAGGTCATTTGGGTCAGGGTCATGAAATATTCAGGGTAGGTGTAAAATTGATAAATGCGAGGGTACTGAAAGTGTCGTCGCGATCGGCCGCTTTTTACGCGAGTTATACGCGAAAAATCATGGGGGGGGGGGCCTACACATGCGCGGGTTAACAAAACTCCTCATGACACGACTACGCTCTTCATTTCAGGACCTCTCTGGAGCTTCAAACCACAACACGAGCGTAGCACGCTCACAATACCCATTGTTTGTCGCCATCGCTCGGAGCTGATCACTATCGCCACTGCTTGCAGTTCCGGGGTAACGCCTCTGGTCAAATGACAGTTCTGGGGTAACGCCTCTGGTGTAATGACAATTCCGGGGTAACGCCTCTGGTCAAATGACAGTTCTGGAGTAATATCTCTGGTCAAATGACAGTTCTGGGGTAACACCTCTGGTCCAAGGACAGTTCCTGGGTAACGCCTCTGGTCCAACGACCAAAACCAGAAGAGTGAACTGTGAACAATGCGGCACGGACCTCCTTGTGACAAAACAAAGATAACAGATGCCTCTCGGCTCTCACGAAGACACCTTAAGGTGCTAAAACGCAAGGCGGACAGCTTTGCGAGACGATAATCCACTGATGCCAGAAAACTCCAATTGCGATTAAGTTCGGAAGAGAAAATCTCAATCACGGATGAAATTTATACAGGAGACCAGCTATGCGGAATTAATACACCCATGGTAACGCACAGAGCAACAGAGGCAGCTCCAACCGAAGGGTGGCAACACTTTGAGAAGTAGTGAGAATCCGTCTCGCGGCGGCGGTGTACGGCGCGAGTCGCCGCCTCTAATGACTACTCCAGCGGCGGGTCGCTGCAACCTATCGCAGCGTCTCCTGTGAGCGGGTTCCGAGAATCCGTCCTGTCAGTGAGGCCGCCCACGCTCCACCCTCCCCCTCTCCGACCCGCGCCCCTCCGGCCGATGACGGGGCCGCCGGGCCGGTCAGAGGCGGCCGGGACAGGTCCACTCGACTCTCAGCTCGGTGGCCGCGAGCGGTTGGTGACGGCGGCTTACGATTAACCGCGACTGGATGCTGGCCCGGCCGTACCAGCCAGAGATGGACGTCTATGACTCATTAGCCGTCACCGACTGGGAGGGAGGGAGGGAGGGGGAGAGGGTCACAGATGGAGACAGCGGCACGTGGACGGATTAGTGGTACCAGGAGCAGCGCGGCCCGTCAGCCCGGGTCAACTTCAGGACAGCGGGGAGGGGTCGGCCTCTGGACAGCAGGGAGGGGCCATCCCTAAGACAGCAGTGATACAGAGACAGCGCTGGAGCAGACCGCAGGGAGCAGTCAGCCAAAGGACAGCGGGGAGAAACAGACGGTCCACAGGAGATCAACTATCAAATGGTGCTCCATTAATCAACAATCATTCCGCAAAACAACATCATTAACAAACATCCATTACACGATATGTAACCAGGAAACACTTTTGAAAGTGGCTTTGCAGTGGCTTGGCATTCCTAAACAGGACATAAACTTTCTTCCCGTACCAAGAGTCCTTGTAACAACTCCTTATCTCAACAATTGCAACCGCAGAGCAGCGTATGCTTCGAAACGTGACACGTGTTTTATCATGACGACATTTCAACGGAGAATATTAACGGTGTCGGAGGAAAACATGGGCTTTTGTGACCTGTATTCAAAGAACCGAGCGAGAGTGGCATATTCCACCGATGACGACTGATCACCGGCTGATGCCTGTTTTAGTGAACAGCATATATCCGGGTCTTGCCGTGTCCTTTTGTAATCCCCGAAATGTCACCGCAAATTATGTTCTACGATCAGGCAGTCTTATTCATTCCAGCAGGACGTATGCCATAGAGGACCCTTTGTCCAGACAGGCTCTCGTTTGACTAAGACACATACTAATGGAGAATCCCGTCCTTTGAAGATCTTTCGCCTTGTTTCCAATACTGATCCCTGAGGACTACCTGGACCGCGCCGAGTTTGCAGGGGAATATTTACTATCCCAAAACAACGAGGATATTCCCCTGGTTTTCCAGCAGACTCAGTTTTTTTTCATCACAAAACGTTAACCGTGAACTGAAAAAAACATTTTCAGTTGCGGTACAGCCTTACTCTCCCTGTGCAATCCCCTCGGTATATCGTTAAAACGGACCGGTCTCTGCGCGCCACCTATACACTCCGGTGCCGTCCCTGCCCGCACCCCCCCCCCTCCCCAGCGCGCCCACCGCCTCACCAGCAGCTCCTTGCCGTCGTCAAAGTCCTTCTGCAGCTGCTGGCCGAGGGCGCCCTCGGGCACGCGCAGGTCGCCGCGGGTCTCACCCTTGTCGTCCATCAGAGTGCAGAAGCCGTCGTCGATATCGATTAGCTGTGAGAGAGGGGGTAAACAGAGGTGGTCAGATGCAGTGACCAGACACTGGTGCTGCTAGAGGCTCGCCGATCACGGCTTCTTTTATGGAAAAGGTACCGCTGTTATTTAAATAGGACGCTCATATACAAGTAAGATTAACTTGGTTTATATTTATATCTTTAATATATATCTAAGCTTTCACCTCTTCCACCAATGCTTTTTTTTTGGCGAAATTTACAGATTCCTTTCAAGGCATCCTGTCAAAAATAAACAAACTTTTGGCCGATAATTACTAGTTCCAACTTATGCATAAACATCAGTCAGCCTCAATCCAGATGTGGTGGTCAGTTGGAAACAATGGCGAGGCCCTGCCGATCCAGTGTTGAGTTCCAGGGGCGCCTGCACCAGGAAAGCTAATTGCTATATACACTGGTCATAAAATACTTGCTGTTGGGATTCGTTTGGGTATCACTTTCAGCAAGCCTGAAGGCTCACCGACCAACACAAACAAATGACGATGACTTTTGTCTATTTCTTTTGGACTTCTTGTAATCAAAGGCAAGTTATGTGCAATCGAAATTCTAACAGGTAATCTAGGCAACGAAACCATGATAATTTTCAACGTATATCGCACCAAAATTCTGCCTTATCCCTGTAGAAAAACCAGTAGCATGGGTAAAAGCAGTAGAACGACTAAGACCGTCACGTCACGCTGCACACACCTGCATTTCGAAGCGTCGCACCACGGGCACGTCCATGTTGTGCGTGGACGGACAGATATCCTCGTACTTTTTCCCCGTGAAGATGTCGATGCCCACCATGTGCACCTTGGCGTGGCCGTGCTTGCCCGTCTTGGAGGTGGACATCTCGACGATCTTGCACGGGCGTCCCTTGAGCATGACGAATCCGTTTTTGCGCAGCGCTGAGCACTGCTGTGGGAAGGTGGAGCTGGCGCCCGAGTCGCCCTGGCCCAGAAACTCGTTGTCCAAGTCCAGTTCGGCCATGGCTGATCGGCGACTGGGCTGAAAAAAGAAAAAAGTAGAAGAGCAAATGGAGGACGTGAAGAGACGGCACACACGGTACAAGCTGAACAACTAAAAAATCGAGCAGATACAAACAACAGAGCGAACTCCTCAGCAATCAACCTACATGTTTTCCGTTTTGCAACAGACTACCAAATCATGTGGTGCAAATCTTAAACATTGTCCAATGCATGTCATTTTGAAATGTGGATTTCAGGTCACATTACTGCAAGTTGCTGCACATTTCTTTCCTTGACTGGTGTGGCTCATTGATGCTGCTGCCATGCCATGATTTTAAATTGGGTGTGGAGACTCAAATCAGATAGCTTATGCTGCATGAGGTTGAACTAAAGAATCATCCTTTGAAAAACTTAGCATTTTGTTTTATAATTCCAGGGACACGTCTCATAGAAAAATTTCAGAGTATGGCTATTTCAATCAGATCTTATTAGTGAAGGCTTAGCCAATGCATATTTTTCTTCAAGGATGCAAATTCTATGTCGTGGGGCTTGTTTATGCTAAGAAGATTTGCAGAAAGTTCTATGGGCTGCTGACATGGTGCTATATTGCTAAATGCTAACCTAGGTGCAGCATTCAGAAGCTTGCTTTTTCTGGCTAAGGCACCTGTCATCTCACACCAGAGGACAGGTAGCTGCCTTATGGTAGACCATAGACCTCTGCATACCTCATATATAGGGGTCTATGTGGTTAGGTAGGTGTATGGTAGAGGCATAATTTAGTTCATTCAGGTTTGCTTGTTTTCACATTACAAGCTTTGAATGTTTAGTTAAAGGGACCCTCCCACCTTCAAAAAAGTTAATGAATTGGCATGAAAGTGATGTCGCTCGGTTCAGAAAGAGCGAAAACGAATATGTACCAAATTTCATCGAAAAATATTCACCGGTTTTCAAGATATTAGACTTTTACTTTTGTTTACTTTTTGGGATCTCCGCTGTTCCTAGCGACTTTATTTGAAAGTGCGGCATTTGTTGCGCGCAAAGCAGCATATACCACCGCGTGCTACCAAACGTTTTAGTAAAAGATTTAAAAACTGTTAGACCTCCGCTGACGTCACAAATTCTAAGGGGGCATACCAATGCATTAGCCCCTTAGAATTCGAAAACTGCAAGTTTGAAATTCCATATCTCCGAATTAAAGCATTTTTCGATGTTGTGAGTGCCCAAACCGGTATTTTCAGGCCATGGCCACCAATTTGGCTATCTCAACTCAAAACTAATGTTAAGGTGGGATGGTCACTTTAACCCTCCTCCTGCTGGGGGGGGGGGGGGGGTTTGAACATCCCCTTGTGGTTTTTAGCATACTTTATCATGCGTCTTTTCTGCACAAGTTGTGAAAATTTCAGACCCAGGTCACTGAAGTTCAGGTCACCAGCCCAGGTGACCTCAAGTGACCTCACAACATAAAGTTTCAATGTCTGCCATAGCTACACTGAATGACAGATCACTTTGAATCTTCAGCGACTGATAAGAGCAACAGCATGTACAAAATGTATGTCTTAGATATTTGATATCAGTGACCTAAGGTCAGGTCAATTTTGCAGCCTCTCCATTATAAGTCAATGGGAGAAAATTGAAAGGTGCCTGTTTTGAACCAAGGTCATTACAATACAAACACTCTAAAACACTGAATTACAAATGACTTTGACACACCAAACATGAAAATGGCACCCGTGACCCCTTAATATGCCCCTGAGGTCATCTCAGGTCACAAATGGTAGCTGACAGTTTTTTACGAATAACTTTTGATAGAGGCAAGCTATAGCAATGAAAACACCTTAATTATGTGCGGCTCGACCATACGGATCGACTGATACCCTTACCAGTCAGATAATGACCTTGATCCGAGGTCAAATTTTCAAATTGACCTTTAAAGGTGTCTTGGTTAGGGTTAAGGTGTCTTCAATCGATGTGTCTGGACGAGTGGAACACAATGCCAGTAAACAAAAGCTCGTGCTAGGTTTGAGTCAAAAGTTAATGCAGAAAAACTGTTTCCGAAAACTTGGCTAATTTGGCAGCTTTTGCCCTCTGTTCTGCAGGCAAAACCGTTGACTGTGACGGACTGACGCCACGGTAGATCAAATCTGAGATCGGCAAACCTAGACTGAGACTGCGCCGCACGAAAAAAGCATGTTATCGGGCAAGCTGGCACCGTATAAGCTCTGAAACACAATTTTCGACAAGGTTATATGCCTCTTAAAGGAAATAGTTCACTTTTAAAGGGACTATCCCACCTTCTAAAATGTTGTTAAAACCAGTTAAATTGTGCCCGACTTTATAGATTGGATGACCAGGAACACGGTTCTGGCAGTTATTTTTCATTAAACATCTTAGGCTTCCCATATTCCAAACACAAACTTTCAAATATGTGACGTCACAGCCCAAAATTACCTCCTTCCCCAGGCCACATTACTGTCATAAAGCTGATTCTTTTTACTCTGTAGGCACCACAACAAAGTTCAGACCAAGTTTTAAGCGATTTTTCAACGAACAAGCCCATTTAAATCAGAATGACTAAACGAGGTGACGTCACACTAACGGTCGCTCCATGTTGAAGATAGGGCCTTGTACAAGGCCCATTTTCAAATGAAGGGAACAAATTTCTTCAACACCAAGAGGCCGCGGGGGTTGCAACCTAGATAGATAGTGGTTTCTGAACCTCGCCGCAAACTTGGCTATCTCAACTCAAACCCCATGTTAAAGGTGGGATAGTCCCTTTAACATGGGGTTTTGAGCTGGAATAGCAGTTTCGTAGCTTGAGCTGAGACTAGCACAAATCAGGAGCTTTTACGGCTCAACGATCACCCTAGACGAAGAAATTCCATTTCTCGTTCCGAAAAGAGTGCCTTGTAGAGGAATGCGTGCCTTGCACAGGAATGCAGCCACGTCATCGTCAGCCAATCAGCGTGCTGCTTACAGCCAATGCAGTATTCGTAGGTTTGAGCTACGCAATATGATTGGTCAATGCGTAATAAGCTTCCGCGTCAAACATTATTTTACATAGAATATAGTTCGCCCTATATTAAAATAAAGAAAATAATTGTTTTTACAAAAAGGTTTTATTTTATTTCATGATTATTTTGAGCATAAAAAATCATAAATCAATAGCAAAATACTGATTTCAGGAAAGTGGACTGTTTCCTTTAATACATAAATAATGAATGAAGCCCCCTAATACCTGTCGGAAAGGAAATTTGACACCACGCGAAACGGGCCGCAACAGCCAACCACAAAAGGACCGACACGACCGACACGAGTTCCAGCAAGGCTATAACATTGTGGGTTCTTGAAGTCACTCTTCTTTGGCTTGTTGCGTGACGTTTTTTTGCTTCGAGACTTTTTGTCAAAGATAAATTAAGCACATAGAAGGCTTTTAAGCTATTCATAAATTTTTACATGTATCAAAATGCTATATTAATTCAAATTATCCTCAACTTTGCAAATAAATACGCAAAAATGTATGGCATTTCAAACATAGACTAAAAAGCCAATGACGTCAAATAGCAAGAAACTTTTGAAGAGAGACAATAAAAATTGTCCCAATAGCGCAAATATTGCCTCAGAAAATAGGAGGCGTGGAGCTTCCATATCCCATTCAATACTACCAAAGAGAAATAATATAAAGTAGGACTTGAAAAAAGGGGAAAACGGATAAGAACCCGGTTTACATAGCATAATTGACGAGGCTCTAGCTCGTTAATTTGGCGATAATTTCGATGCAGACCCTTAGCAGGCTTCTAACTGCCATATTCATTGTTGGATTATCAAGAAATTCACCATACATACTCGCAAATGTTTGTTCTTTCGTATAGTGAAAGATTAAAGAAAATCGGCTGGTAACTTTTTGAGTTATCGGCGTGTAAACGCAAAAAAGTCGCTAATATGGCAGATTTGACCACATTTGACCTCATTTGACCTTGAAGATATTGACCTAGGGTCATGAAATTCACACACAACAGAGTTCCCCATGGCCCCCACCTACCCTCCAAATTTCGTCTTTCTAACTCCAGTGGGAGCTGAGATCTTAGGGGGGGGGGGGGCGACAACCGCCCCCCCTTCCACTGGGCGTAATACTCGCAACCCTTCCACTGCGCGTGTTAAAGGACGGGGCGCGTCAAAAGTGCCCCAAGGCATCGTCTGATCGCCAAAATAATGGTTGCAATCGATTCCTCGGGTCAATATCTAACCTCAGTCGAAGGTTCCAGGCCTGTGCCTCCTATCCTTCATCCCTTAATCGTCCCTTAAAGGACGGGGCGCGTCAAAAGTGCCCCAAGGCTTTGTCTGATCGCCAAAATAATGGTCGCAATCGATTCCTCGGGTCAATATCTAACCTCAGTCGAAGGTTCAAGACCTGTGCCTCTTATCCTTCATCCCTTAATCGTCCCTTAAAGGACGGGGCGCGTCAAAAGTGCCCTAAGGCTTCGTCTGATCGCCAAAATAATGGTCGCAATCGATTTCTCGGGTCAATATCTAACTTCAGTCGAAGGTTCCAGACCTGTGCCTCTTATCCTTCATCCCTTAATCGTCCCTTAAAAGACGGGGCGCGTCAAAAGTGCCCCAAGTTGTCGTCTGATCGCCAAAATAATGGTCGCAATCGATTTCTCGGGTGAATATCTAACCCAATCGAAGGTTCCAGACCTGTGCCTACTATCCTTCATCCCTTAATCGTCCCTTAAAGGACGGGGCGCATCAAAAGTGCCCCAAGGCTTCGTCTGATCGCCAAAATCAGACGTCCGCGACAATTTTTTTTGGCGATCAGACGAAGCCTTGCGAGACTTTTGACGCGCCCCGTGCTTTGAGGGACGATTAAGGGATGAGGGATAGGAGCCATAAGTCTGTAACTTTCGACTGAGGTTAGATATTGACCCAAAGAATCGATTGCGAACATTATTTTGGCGATCAGACGAAGCCTTGGGGCACTTTTGACGCGCCCCGTCCTTTAAGGGACGATTAAGGGATGAAAGATAGGAGGCACATGTCTGGAACCTTCGACTAAGGTTAGATATTGACCCGAGGAATCGATTGCGACCATTATTTTGGCGATCAGAAGAAGCTTTGGGGCACTTTTGACGCGCCCCGTCATTTAAGGGACGATTAACCCGCGCCCCACTGGGGGGGGGGGCTATTTATAGCCCCCCTCCCGTTTTTCTGCAATAACTTCCAAACCGCTTGACATATCGACGCCAAACTTTCAGTACCTTCGGCTGCATTAATTTGACACCTTGTGTCAAAATTTGAATTTCGTACCTACCATAGGTCGGCCGGAAATGACGTCAGAGTGACGTCATGTTCGGCCGATTTCGACGCAAAACATTGAACCACGGCAATCGCTCCCAAGAGCTCAGTGTTTAAAGGAAACAGTCCACTTTCCTGAAATCAGTATTTTGCTATTGATTTATGATTTTTTATGCTCAAAATAATCATGAAATAAAATAAAACCTTTTTGTAAAAACAATTATTTTCTTTATTTTAATATAGGGCGAACTATATTCTAGGTAAAATAATGTTTGACGCGGAAGCTTATTACCATTGACCAATTGACTTGGTACGCATTGACCAATCATATTGCGTAGCTCAAACCTACGAATACTGCATTGGCTGTAAGCAGCACGCTGATTGGCTGACGATGACGTGGCTGCATTCCTGTGCAAGGCACGCATTCCTCTACAAGGCACTCTTTTCGGAACGAGAAATGGAATTTCTTCGTCTAGGGTGATCGTTGAGCCGTAAAAGCTCCTGATTTGTGCTAGTCTCAGCTCAAGCTACGAAACTGCTATTCCAGCTCAAAACCCCATGTTAAAAGTGAACTATTTCCTTTAAGGTAGATCCAATTTCTTTGCATGAGAGGACTCAGAATAGACTGCGCTATCAAACTGCTATCTCGGATTTTCGAAATTTTGAAAATTTAGAAAATTTTATATAATAAAATTCAAAATTTATATCTTTACATTTTTTCAATTTTTTTTGACTTTTCGAAAAAACCGGAATATATGTGATAGAACGCATTATTATGACTAACTCTAGCAAGTTGTAGCTAAATATCTTCAAAAATGGCCAAGTTATACGCATTATTGCAAAAAATTAACAATTATTAATTTTTCAAATCAATTTTTCAGCGCGAATTTGACATCGTACGCCAATATAAATAGCACCATCGTGTTCCTGAGCTCAAACTGCATCCAATAGACACCTTTTTTTGTTGAAAAATTTCAACTTCAAAATTTGACCTTTTTTGACCTGAAAGTGACCTGACCTAAGCTAAATTTGAAAATGACCTCGAATGACACAGAAAACATCAAATTCGAAATGTTTGGCCTAAATGGACCATAAAACATGCGTCACGTGACCGACGGATGATATAATATTTTCGTGACCTGTGATGACCTGACCTTGACCTGAAAATCAAAGTACAGGTTTGGTACCCTCAGAGTATCTAGAGCATCTGTTCACGAGTGTGTGAACCAAAAATGAGCCTGATCTGACTTGTAAGACGGCGGCCAGAGCCCAAAACGTAAAGAAGCCAAAATGCTAATAATTTTTACTTTGACCTGACCTGTGACGTCATCAGTGACCTCGAGGTCAATGAAATTAGGTTTCGCTCGACAGTTTTTCCGGGGCTATCAGACGCCGTTTGAATTTTGACGATCGGCCCAGTAGTTTCGGAGTTAGGAGGGGGGCTATGAATAGCCCCCCCCCCCCAGTAGGGCGTGTTATACGCAGACCCCAGTGGGGCGCGGGTTAAGGGATGAAGGATAGGAGGCACAGGTCTGAAACTTTCGACTGAGGTTAGATATTGACCCGAGGAATCGATTGCGACCATTATTTTGGCGATCAGACGAAGCCTTGGGGCACTTTTGACGCGCCCCGTCCTTTAAGGGACGATTAAGGGATGAAGGATAGGAGACACAGGTCTGGAACCTTCGACTGAGGTTAGATATTGACCCGAGGAATCGATTGCGGCCATTATTTTGGCGATCAGACGAAGCCTTGGGGCACTTTTGACGCACCCCGTCCTTTAAGGGACGATTAAGGGATGAAGGATAAGAGACACAGGTCTGAAACCTTCGACTGCGGTTAGATATTGACCCGAGGAATCGATTGCGACCATTATTTTGGCGATCAGACAAAGCCTTGGGGCACTTAAAACGCGCCCCGTCCTTTAAGGGACGATTAAGGGATGAAGGATAGGAGGCACAGGTCTGGAATCTTCGACTGAGGTTAGATATTGACCCGGGGAATCGATTGCGACCATTATTTTGGCGATCAGACGAAGCCTTGGGGCACTTTTGACGCGCCCCGTCATTTAAGGGACGATTAAGGGATGAAGGATAGAAGGCACAGGTCTGGAACCTTCAACTGAGGTTAGATATTGACCCGAGGAATCGATTGCGACTATTATTTTGGCGATCAGACGAAGCCTTGGGGCACTTTTGACGCGCCCCGTCCTTTAAGGGACGATTAAGGGATGAAGGATAGAAGACACAGGTCTGGAACCTTCGACTGAGGTTGGATATTGACCCGAGGAATCGATTGCGACCATTATTTTTGCGATCAGACGAAGCCTTGGGGCACTTTTGACGCGCCGTCCTTTAAGGGACGATTAAGGGATGAAGGATAGGAGGCACAGGTCTGGAATTTTCGACTGAGGTTAGATATTGACACGAGGAACCGATTGCGACCATTAATTTGGCGATCAGACGAAGCCTTGGGGTACTTTTGACGCACCCCGTCCTTTAAGGGACGATTAAGGGATGAATGATAGGAGGCACAGGTCTGGAATTTTCGACTGAGGTTAGATATTGACCCGAGGAATCGATTGCGACCATTATTTTGGCGATCAGACGAAGCCTTGGGGCACTTTTGACGCGCCCCGTCCTTTAAGGAACGATTAAGGGATGAAGGATAGGAGACACAGGTCTGGAACCTTCGACTGAGGTTAGATATTGACCCGAGGAATCGATTGCGACGATTATTTTGGCGATCAGACGAAGCCTTGGGGCACTTTTGACGCGCCCCGTCCTTTAAGGGACGATTAAGGGATGAAGGATAAGAGGCACAGGTCTGGAACCTTCGACTGAGGTTAGATATTGACCCGAGGAATCGATTGCGACCATTATTTTGGCGATCAGACGAAGCTTTGGGGCACTTTAGACGCGCCCCGTCCTTTAAGGGACGATTAAGGGATGAAGGAAGGGAGCTAGGGCAAAATAAATGTCATATTCGTGTTCCCCGTCCCCCAATTGACCTGATGC